AGTGCCATGACTAATGCGTATTATGCAAACCTAAAGGCACCTTCCCTACAAGGGAGGTCTTTCAGGTCGTGGCGCGCTTTTTGGAAATGGTTTGTTGCTTGTTGTAGGGGTCCATACAAGGATCACAAAAATGGGTTTCATTTTTGCTATGCGTTTCTGGGTAGGTCAAAAACTGAGTAAAAAGAATTCGACAAGATTAGGCGGTTTTGACCATCTTAATGGGCTCCATTTTTATTGTAACTTCGAGCATGCATTGTTTTGAAGGTGCTCTTTGATAAGGCTTCGAAAATGGCTTTGAATAAAGGCAAAATATGATTATCATGTGGTGGCACACTAGGCATTCACCGCCGCAACAGCGATGTTTTTATCAACGGTCCCTTCACCTCCACTGCCGGTAGCTCGGATGGCGCAACGGATAACACGATGGACTTTGTGGATCGAATCCTGCTCGCGTAGATTAGTTTTGCATTTTCCAGTTTCGCGTTCCTGTGTCTCTGGCAGTGGAAATAAGCCATGTACATGCCAGTTTAAGGCATATTCTTTATTCGACACGTTGCAAACCAGCGCGGTTGTGCGGAAAAGCCTGTTTCCGGGAATGTTCTAGTCTCATTGTGTACCATTTCCCTTCATTGATGGACAAATCTCACAGCTGTGGTAAAGTTCAACAAAACATGTGAAGCATATGCATCTACTGCACCAACTACACCTAACAAAAGCCAGAGAAGAACAATTGCTGTCTTCTTGACAAGGGACGACAACATCACCCGGCGCAGTTAGTCGACGGGGGGCATTTTGCACTTTCGCTCCTCCCATCTACGTGGCACTTCCGCTCCTCCCATCCACGTGGCACTTTCGCTCCGGCCCTAGTTCCGGTTTACAAGTCTCGCTGTGGACAAACCTATTACTCCTTGTAAAACTGGAGCAAGCACGTCAAGTCATGCTAAACCTGTCAACTCTTGTAAGCTCATGGAAAAGTTAACGAAATGGCTTTTTTATGAGTACTTCAAATATATTGGGCTAGGAGAACCCCTAGGCATACTAATTACTTCATTGGAAGGCAAAGAACAACATAAAGGTACAATAACAATCAGTTTTTTATGGGATACTTATTGGCAATCGCTTGCCACAACAAAAAGAACCTCGACTCTTTTGCCCGTTGCCATTTCCATACCGCCTCAATAAAATGCTTATCCCATAGTTTCCCGCTTAGCCCATTCTTCTTCTTTACCGCTCTTTTGATATGAGACCACACCGATTCAATGCTTTGAGTGTGAACTCCAGTCAAGGGATCTACAAAGTTGAGCGCGTGATTTACAGTGCTATGTATGAAACCAATATTTCCTAAGTTTCCGTACCCTCGCCAAGAGTCCGTCCATATGGTGGTCCCTGGTAAAACATTTCGTAGCATTATTCCATCTAGAGTTGAACTGTCTCTGCTGCTGACGATTTCCAGAAACATCTTCTTGGAACCGACTTCAATTCCCCCTACTAACCATGAGTTTCGTACTAACCTCCCTCGGTTGAATTTTCGCTTCACAATAAGTTTCGTCAACCTGCACAACCTTTCCTGGTCCTCCTATTTTTATACATTCCTGACTGCAGAAGAAATTCTCAACAAGGACGGCTCTAAACCGCTGATCCCAGTGTACTATTGTTGACAAACAATTCACCCCGCACGAACGCGCTCTCTCTTCTACAGAGCCCATGTCATTTACGAACAAGTAAGAGGCCAAAAATAGAGTTTTCCGGCTGCCTTTCAGGTTTTCAAAAAATGTATCCTTGAGATAGCCAGTCTTCCGTCTGATTCCAGGCTTACGACAAGATGCACGATTGCACTCAAACTTCTTT